AACACTGTACGGCAATAGCGTTCCACTTGTCCATTTTTTTGATGCATTTCGGGAGTAATGAAATGCACTTCAACTCCGTAATTAGAAATCCAATTAATAAACTCATGGTTATCGAACATACGACTTCTATCACACACTAGTCTTTTAAAAGTACCAAACAGAGAAATTATTTGGGTCATTACGCGCTTTAACTCGCTACAGTCTTGCCTTGGTAAGGCATAGAGCAAACAGTACTTAGTATACGCGTCAATTATGATAAGCACATGTTTATGGCCATCACTTTCCCTCAGTGGTCCGAGTACATCCACGTGTATTGTATCGAATGGTATCGGAGCCTTTTCCCAAGAAGATATTGGTTGCAAAGGTGCGCGAGGAACTTGCTTATGCGCGATGCACACTACGCAGTGCGTGACGTATTTCGCGACAAACTGTCTAAGACCGGGGAACCAGAAGTGTCCCAGGATCAGATCAGTAGTTTTGTCTATACCGATGTGTTCATGCTCGTCGTGGAAAACGCGTAGTAAACTTAACCGAAACGCCTTTGGTACATAGCATAAGAATCGCGCTTGCTCACCCGTGACGTCATACTTATAGTACAAGAGTTCATTACGTTTCACGTAACGCGTGTTATCTAATTTACCGTTATTTAATTTTTCAAGTAACGTTAATGTCTCCTCGTCACCTGCCTGTGCCACTTGGGCCCAATTTCGTGGTTTTTGAACAATGCTAATCATATTGACCGGGTTCCTACTCAAGTAGTCTACGTGCGACATAAGCGTGCCTTTACGGTATTCTAATGAGAAATCGAAGTCCTGCATATATATCCACCATCTTGCAACTCTGGGTTGGAGATCCTTCTTACGTTGTGTCATTTTTAATGCATTACAGTCTGTGACTATTTTAAATGATTTGCCAATTAAATATTGCCTAAAATGTTGTAACGATTTCACTACCGCGAGGGTCTCCAGCTCATAGCTGTGATACTTGGATTCCGCACCAGCAGTCAACTTGCTAAAATAAGCAACTACCCGCCTGCGGTCGTCCTTGTGTACTTGCATGAGGATTCCACCGTAACCAATAGAACTGGCATCCGTATGCAGCTCAGTTGTCAATTCGGGGTCGAATATTGCCAAAATTGGTTCATTGGTTAAATAAGAAATGATATTTTGACGTGCAATTTCGTGTTCATTGCACCAATTAAAGATTACTCCTTTTCTAGTTAAAGCGGCGATTTGCGCAGTCTTTAGTGCGTAATTAGGAATGTATCTTCGGAAGTATCCTGCGAGGCCAAGAAATTGGCGAACCTGTTTGATATTACTCGGTCGTGGTGATTTAACTAACGCGTCAATTTTATAATTGCTCGGTCTAACCTGACCATCTCTTATAATCCTACCCAAGTATTCTATTTCGTTAGTAACAAAAGTACATTTCTTTAAATTAATTGAAAAACCTGTTTCAGTTAGCGTTTTCATAACCGAATTTAATAAAACGAGGTGTTCGTCAATCCCGACCGTCATTATTAATACGTCATCTATGTAGACCATGACTTTTCCGGCATCGATAAAAGATTTAAGCGTTTTAGAGATAGTCTTCTGATAAAATATAGGCGCGTTTGCCAAACCGTAGGGTACCTTGCAATATTCATACTGCGCCTCTGGTGTAACGAATGCGGTCTTATGAATCGACTCTTCTGCAACTCTAAGTTGATGGAAACCGGAAACCATATCCAGAGAGCTAAACCAGCGACCATTGCCTAGCCTGTCTATATAGTCGTTGATCAAGGGAGAGGATATCTAGTTTTAACGGTTATTCGATTCAATGCACGATAGTCAACGACCATTCTATCAGAACCATCCTTCTTTTTTACGAGCAAGATCGGACTAGCGTATTCTGAATCGGACTCGCGAATAATTCCTTTATCGAGCAGATCCTTCACTATAGTGCGTACTTTTAATTTTTCGCCATGCGATAATTTGTAGGGTCTATAGTACACGGGCACATCGGTTGTTAATTTGATATGCATCTCACTATCTTTCACCGTAGTGGTCGCGGTACCACTTAAAAAGTAATCGGAATACTTGGTGAGGATCTCTAGTAATCGTTCTCTATTATTTCCAGATACCGACGTATTAACTTGATCGGACAAAGAAATCAAATTTACTTGCAGAATATCGTTTACAGTCGCCTCGCTATGAATTATACGTTGGCTATCACCGGTCCTAACATATGTAATACCTTTCCTGTTTAGTACGTCTGTACCGATAATGACTGGCACACTCAAATTATTCCCACCCACCACATAAAAATCAATTTCTATCGTTATATCGCTAAACTCGACAGGTAATGTTACAAATGATTCCGATCTTACTTCCATACCACCCAAGCCGCGTAGCAACTGATTCGTAGGCTTTACTTGACACGGGAAATGCTTAACAACATTCTTTGACATTAAGGAAACACATGAACCACTATCGATTAGTACGTCTAATGGTATTCCCGATATGACCGCAGTCGTTACGTCGCGATTTTTATAACTATCCGTGATATCGCGACAAAAATTGACACCATTATTATTCCGAGAATTTGCGCGTTCCTTAGCAAAACAAGTTACCTCGGAATGACCTACCTTTTTGCAAAACCCACACTTTAACGGATCGCTACGAGATATCGTCGGTAACGCGATTGTTTTTTCGTTACTATAACTCGGGAGTGTATTCGACCGTTTGTTACAATTAAAACTCCTATGACCAAATTGATTACATTCGTAACACCTTACTGATTTTAAGTCTTCGGGATCATATCGACGTTTTAACGGTTTGCGGTTCGAGTTACTATTATTAGAGGGTCGGTCAAATCGATTGAGACCATTAGAATACACTTTCCGATTATGGCTGTTAAAAGGTTTAACAAAGCTCGATAAAAACTCCACTATAGAGTCAGGTGATAATTTGGCGTTAGCAGCCATAGCACGAATTTGTGGATCTGCAATTCCACGAATGATAATAGCCGTAAGCAGCTCGCTACCGAGACCTTTAACTATGCGTAACCTTAAAAGTGATTTACGAGCATACTCAGCATATGTGGAGTATTTATCTGACCCTGTCCGCATTACATCATAAAGCATGTTCGCGACATCGACAGAACGTGGGCATAGCGCTTTTAGTTCTGATTTGAAATTGGACCACGTGCGAATACTGCTTGTCCATTGGCTAAGCCAGGTGCGAGATTCTCCTTTAAAACAATGTCCGACACGAGCAAGGCATTCTCTGTCGTCCCAATGGTTCGAAATACGGGCTCTTTCTACCTCATCACACCACGTGTCGAAGTCATGAACATTCGGATCAAAATCAGAGACAAAATATCGGTTAGATCTGACCTGAGTACTGCCGATAGCGGTCAAAAGACGCTCTACGGCGTTCGTCACCACTTCTTCAGACTGCGTTGATCCCACGTTGCCAGTGTGCGGAGTCAGCGGCGGCGTCCCCACTCGCGAGGGCACAGGCGCACGCGGCGGTGTAGGCACCCCGAACACCGATGCCGATGCCGATGCCGATGGTGTTGTGTTTGGCAGCTCGAGGGCGCGCCTAGGGCCCGAGCTGGTCGTTGCAATGGCTTGCGTCTCCACTGACGCACGGGGCTGCTCCTCCAGCACGCGTAGCCTCCTCAGGATCTCTTCCATCGGATTGGGCGAAGGAGTTTGCCCACGGCGTTTTTGTTTGTTGCGTTTATCGTTGCTAGGCATCTCACAGACAAAAACTGTGCTCGAATATTAAATAAACAACTGAAAGGAAACTAAGTTTTTCTTTATGAAACCAGAAATATAGGCGTACAGCGGCTTTTCGGCCTTCTGATCCCACTTCTGATGTTACAAATAGAAACACAGATTGACTTTTTAAAAGGATTTTAATGGCCTTTGGCCTAACAAATATTAACTAACTTAAAAGCTTTAAACAAGATTTAAAATAATGACGCTAGTATTCGAGCAAGGCTTCCGAACTCCGTAATGACCGATGGCAAAAAAGGGGCGAGTGACGCCAGCCGCCCTCCTATATAGCCCGGCGCGGCGTCGGCGCTCTTGATTCAGACCTTCTCTTCTAACAATAGCTTAATTGGTATATTGGGCGGTCACAGATTCGTAAAACCGTGATTCGAGCCCAGACTGACAGTTTTTTTTTTCAAGTTCCTTTCTTTTTTGAGAAAACCTATTTTTTCGAGCCCTTTTTTAGTATTTTTTAAAAACACGAAAATTTAAATTAAACTAATTGCACTCATGATTTTTTATTCAAATAACCAGTTCAGTTTTTTCTATTATGTCGCTAAGATCAAAAAATATTATTTGTATTTCATCAGTATTAATGTGTATGTAATTTGTATCTAAATATAATTTCCAAAACACACGAATTAAAAAAAACCGAGCGAAAAATACCGAGCAAAGCTCGGTCAACCGGGTACTGTAATTTATGTAAGTAGGGGAGAGTGGGGCAAGACGGGGTGCGGGGCAAGACGGAGTGACCGATCTTGAGCGCGAACGAATTAGCCTATCAGGATCGTTTTAGCAGCTGACGTCGCGCTGCCATTACGGCAATCAGTCATCGAAGTGAGCGGACAAAGACTCCACGCGTTTTATTTGTTTTCTGGAAAAAACTTTTTTGACAAATAGCTAGTGATTTTTCTATACTATATAGGGCGTGTAATTTCCGTAAATAATAACACCTCGGAATTGATTTAAATGGTATCAAATGAACTTGTTTTTCTCTGTGCTGCGTATTGGTTTTATTAAGTATTTTTTTAAATTTGATTCGGCATACGGGGGCAAGATGGGGTCGGTCGGTCGGTCGGGAACCCCATCTTGCCCCTTACCTGCAAGCGGCGTATAAATGTCTAATTTTACTGTGTATTTTGTTATAGAATGGTGAGAAATTATAAAAAAAAAAACAAGTAGAGGGGATTGGTCAGAAGAAAGTATGAAAGATGCTGTGAAAAATGTGGTTGAAGGAAAAATGGGCTACAAGCTTGCAGCAAAATCATTTTCTTTCCCACAGACAACTTTAGAAAGAAAAGTGAAGCTTGCGCGAGAAAGTTTAGATAAGAATGATCCAATGACTGTTAAATTTAAGGTACCGTTAGGCCCAAAAGAGCAAGTTTTTACTGATAATGAAGAGGAAGAGCTATGTAAATACATAATAGATATGGAGAGCAGGCTTTATGGACTGACAATGAAAGACTTAAGAGGTTTAGTCTATAGACTAGCGGTAAAAAATAACAAACGTCATCCGTTTAACAATGAAAAAGAAGAAGCCGGGAAAGACTGGGCATTAGGATTTTTAAAAAGGCACCCAGAACTGTCTATTAGACAGCCTGAAAGTACCTCATCCGCACGTGCTGCTGGTTTCAATAAACAGGTGGTAGACCAGTTTTTCAATTTTTTGGGCAATGTTTACGATGAACATCATCTAACACCTGATCGTATATACAACTGCGATGAAACTGGTATTTCAGTTGTGCCCAAAACTAAATCAAAAATTATCGCAAGAAAGGGCAGAAAGCAAGTGAGAGCCATAACATCTGCTGAACGAGGTACGACCATTACAGTAGAAATCTGTTTTAGTGCTAGTGGTAATTTTATGCCACCCATGATGGTATATCCTAGAAAAAGAATGGATCCGCAACTTATGATTAATGCTGCCCCCGGAGCTTGGGGAGTTTGCAGTGATTCGGGCTGGATGACTTCAGAACTTTTCCTAGATTGGTTTAAAAAGTTCGTCGAATTTAGCGGAGCAACACTTGAGCGTCCTGTTTTGTTATTATTGGATAGACATAGTACTGATACGAAGAACATTGATCTCATAAATGAAGCACGCACTCACGGCGTTATCATTTTATGTTTCCCACCACATACAACTCACCGTCTTCAGGTTGCAGACGTTGCTTACATGAGACCGTTAAGTACCTACTACGATCATCAAATCATGGCGTGGCTTCGCAGCAACCCAGGGATGACTGTCACTGTCCGACAAGTAGTTGAAATTTTTTGGAAAGGCGTTCATACAAGCGTCTACGATGTCAACAGCTGTCAATGGTTTTAAGAAATGTGGGATTTGGCCATATGATCCAATAGTATTCTCTGAGACCGACTTCGTCACAAGAACAATGTAAAATTTTGTGTTTATTTTTTGCAAATATATGATTATTACACACATAACGTTTGTTTAAATTTATGACATTTACCAAATCATTGTATTTTGGACATTTGTATTCTTCAATATTAAAAATTCTATCATTCGTCGTCAACATTTTTAAAAATTGGTTTTCTGTTGAACCAATTTTGTATTATATAGTATACTATAACTAATGTTTTTGGGAAAATCAAACAAAATTTATGATTAATTTAAAATTTTATTTTCAAGCAATAACCACTTGTAAGAAACCCAACACTTCATCACAAGAACAATGTAAAATTTTGTGATTATTTTTTGCAAATATATGATTATTACACACATAACGTTTGTTTAAATTTTTGACATTTACCAAATCATTTCTTATATTTACGCGAACACTACACATTGAAATAATACTAGTTTTTACGGAATTTATCGCGTATATTTAACTTTTAATACCCGACGTTTCGAACGCTTTACAGCACTCATGGTCACGGGCAGGACTGAGATGTTCAACGTCCATATGTCATAGTTAACCGCGGTTACCATAGATTAAAATTTAACTTTTGTTCCGATCTATGCAGTATGAACTTATGGTATCTTGAAGTCTTGCAGTTGTATGCTTGGGTTGGGATTTAATTTTATTTATTATAGGATCCCAAGCAGATGGTAGCACCCAGCCATCTTCTCTATTGAAATTAGGATGTTTTTTGATTTCAATAGCCTCGCGAATCATCCTTGGAAGGAATCGGTGTTCTTTAGCGAGGATCTGCGGTCTATCAAATCTGATGTAGTGACGGGGGCGATCCTGTACGTGTTCACAGACTGCAGACTTCCCGGAGCGTCGATTCTTCACATCAGCTATATGTTCTTTAACGCGGGTTTTTATTGATCTTTTAGTTTGTCCTATGTAGGAGAGACCACATTCACACAGTAAACACCTGGCTGCAGAGCTCCACCATGTCAAACAAGTTTTGCATGACAACAAGCTTCAAGTCCCGCGCCTACGTCACAGTGAACGAGTGAAGCCGGCCACAGTCGAGCGTGTACCTGCTGTACTGCCATATGTTAGAGGAGTCACTGACAAGATTGGCTACATCTTGAAGCGCGCTTCCATCAAAACATACTTCAAGCCGCTGAAGAAGATTGGTCAGTTTTTACCATCGGTCAAGTGTAATGTCCCTCTGCAAGATGCAGGAGTGTACAAGCTTGATTGTGAATGTGGTCTCTCCTACATAGGACAAACTAAAAGATCAATAAAAACCCGCGTTAAAGAACATATAGCTGATGTGAAGAATCGACGCTCCGGGAAGTCTGCAGTCTGTGAACACGTACAGGATCGCCCCCGTCACTACATCAGATTTGATAGACCGCAGATCCTCGCTAAAGTACACCGATTCCTTCCAAGGATGATTCGCGAGGCTATTGAAATCAAAAAACATCCTAATTTCAATAGAGAAGATGGCTGGGTGCTACCATCTGCTTGGGATCCTATAATAAATAAAATTAAATCCCAACCCAAGCATACAACTGCAAGACTTCAAGATACCATAAGTTCATACTGCATAGATCGGAACAAAAGTTAAATTTTAATCTATGGTAACCGCGGTTAACTATGACATATGGACGTTGAACATCTCAGTCCTGCCCGTGACCATGAGTGCTGTAAAGCGTTCGAAACGTCGGGTATTAAAAGTTAAATATACGCGATAAATTCCGTAAAAACTAGTATTATTTCAATTTACCAAATCATTGTATTTTGGATATTTGTATTCTTCAATATTAAAAATTCTATCATTCGTCGTCAACATTTTTAAAAATTTTGTCTAATGTTTTTTGGAAATCAAACAAAATTTATGATTAATTTAAAATTTTATTTTTAAGTAATAACCACTTGTAAAAAACCCACACTTCATCACAAGAACAATGTAAAATTTTGTGTTTATTTTTTTGCAAATATATGATTATTACACACATAACGTTTGTTTAAATTTTTGACATTTACCAAATCATTGTATTTTGGACATTTGTATTCTTCAATATTAAAAATTCTATCATTCGTCGTCAACATTTTTAAAAATTGGTTTTCTGTTGAACCAATTTTGTATTATATAGTATACTATAACTAATGTTTTTGGGAAAATCAAACAAAATTTATGATTAATTTAAAATTTTATTTTCAAGCAATAACCACTTGTAAAAAACCCACACTTCGTCACAAGAACAATGTAAAATTTTGTGATTATTTTTTGCAAATATATGATTATTACACACATAACGTTTCTTTAAATTTTTGACATTTACCAAATCATTGTATTTTGGATATTTGTATTCTTCAATATTAAAAATTCTATCATTCGTCGTCAACATTTTTAAAAATTGTTTTTCTGTTGAACCAATTTTGTCTAATGTTTTTTGGAAATCAAACAAAATTTATGATTAATTTAAAATTTTATTTTCAAGTAATAACCACTTGTAAAAAACCCACACTTCATCACAAGAACAATGTAAAATTTTGTGTTTATTTTTTGCAAATATATGATTATTACACACATAACGTTTGTTTAAATTTATGACATTTACCAAATCATTGTATTTTGGACATTTGTATTCTTCAATATTAAAAATTCTATCATTCGTCGTCAACATTTTTAAAAATTGTTTTTCTGTTGAACCACCTTTGTATGCGATCACTTCGTCTTTGCACAAATTTCTAATATACCAATTTAATATGGGAATGATGTTCTCTTGTTTGTAGGCACATTTTAATTCTTCGGTCACATCAAAATATGGAATGCCGTGCACGTGTATTTCACAATAACGAACAGTTTTTTTTTGTCTTTTGGCGACAAATAATTGAAAGGATAACTTGGCTGAAACAAATAATGATCGATAAACGAATCATTTTTATTAGATAGTTTTACGTCTAGAATAGCCATTTCTCTACATTGAAAATGTTTATGAGGATATGTAATGTAAAATCCGTCCATGTCGATGATGTATCTAATATTTTTTTAGATTTTGTGTCATTTTGAACCAAAATGTTAAAAGTATTTACATGTGACTAAAATATGTTTGTTCCAACAAACTTCACGTAACAATTCATTCTTCATTACTTCCCATCACCCCATTTCTTCCTTCTGCTCTTTTCTTCCTGTAATTTAAGAAAACAGAATCACATTCACTAATGATCAACTAATGACTGTCATTGTTAAAAAAGTATTTTTTAACTTTTTACTTTCTGCTATTGTCTTTGTATTTATGGCTAGGAAATGTCCGCGGCGCGGTCTCAATGCGTGTTGGCGAACTTCACATGCCTTCGAAATTTTCTCAAACATGATTGCAATTAACAATTTAAGTGGTGTCGGCGGGGATCGAACCCGCGTTACGTACTGTAAAATTTACAGCTTGCGCTAACCATCTGAGCTACCACGGCTTAATCATATACACACACAAAATATTTAAATATATTTGTTAACACTAAATAATAATAATAATAATAATATTCCACAACTATCACACAACGCCATCTAGTCCCAAGCTAAGCAGAGCTTGTGTTATGGGTACTAGACAACTGATAAACATACTTATATATTTCTAAATACATAAATATTATAGATAAATTACACCCAGACACAGAACAAATGATCGTGCTCATCACACAAACATTTGTCCTGGGTGGGAATCGAACCCACAACCTCCGGCATAACATTCAGGGTCACTAACCACTAGACCAACAGGCCTGTCGTTCAAAATCATACACACGTAAAAAAATAACAGAAAGAAAAGTAAGTTTGTCAATAGATTAAACACTTACATCTATGGCCTTTGATGCGTTGAAGTAACACAAATGTATTATTGATAGATACACTGCGGTCAAACGACCATACACTAACTCCATGACTGCAGTTGCTTGGTCTTATATAGTACCAGTAAGTAATAATTCTAATCTAAAGAATTTCTACAGTAGAATTGATAATAACTTTATGCGTCAACAACCTTATCTCACATTCTTCGTGTTGCGTCTTATTCAGTGTATTGATGACTCAAATACGTTTTGTATAACAGAAAAAATGCAATTTAATATTTAGAAATCACATAATTGATCATTCCTATGTTAGTCATTGAGTAGATTGTACAGTAGTAATCTACTAATAGCAGTAATATCATGGGTACACTAGATGTACAACAACATCTGAAAAAGATTCACCCCAGTCTAGAAAATAATGTTTATGCTGCTAACAGACTGCCCATGTACACCCACGTACCAACGTATATACCTAGTCAGGTCATAAGTATTGTCACACAGTAAAAACTTTTCTTTTAGAATGCTGGCCACAAAAAAGTTTATTGAATTCGAATTGTTCATGAAAATAAAACTGTATACTTTTTAGAATTTTACTCATTTTTACATATGGAGTGGACGCTTAAAAAAGACCGTGTTGCAGTTGCGATTACGCGCCAATTAAATTTTTTGATATACTGAAAAATTTGAATATAACCAAAAGATTCGTTTATCGTACCATCAAACGATACAATGAAGACTCTAGTGTAGATGACAGGTCAAGAAGTGGTCGCCCTCGATTTGTTAGGACTCCAGCAGTGATAAAAGCTGTAAAGGTGCGAATTCAAAGAAATCCCAAACGTAAGCAGAAACTGTTGGCCCTTCAGATGGGGTTAAGCAGAACCACGGCGTTAAATGAAGACTTAGGGCTTCGGGCATATCGAAGAAAAACAGGGCATCGTTTGAATGCTCGTCTAATGGATCTGAGACTGAAGAGATGCCGCGCTTCGGTGAAGCGGTACGCGGGAAAAAAATATCGGGAAATTCTTTTTTCGGATAAAAAATTTTTTACCGTAGAAGAGAGCTACAACAAACAAAATGAAAAGGTGTACGCACACAGTAGTGAAGAAGCGAGCAACCGTAT